GTCCCCCAGTATCCTCATGTATCTCAGTATCCCCTAGTGTTTCAGTGTCCCCATGTCTTCCAGTTTCCACATGTTTCACACTGTCCCCATGTCTCCCAGCATCCCTATGTCTTGCAGTGTCCACTAGTGTCCCCATGTCTCCCAGTTTCCATATGTCTCACACTGTCCCCATGTCTCCAAGTGTCCCCTAGTGTCTCAGTGTCCCCATGTCTCCCCTAGTGTCTGTGTCCTCTAGTTTTCCCATGTCTCCCAGTGTCCCCATGTCTCTGTGTCTCCCAGGATACCCCAGGTTCCTTATGTCTGTGTGCCCTCATTTCCCAATGTCTCCCAGTGTCCCCATGTCTCTGTGTTCTACATTGTCCCCATGTATCCCAGGATTCCCCAGTGTCCCTATGTCTCTGTGTGCCCTGGTGTCCCCATGTATCCCCTAGTCTCCCAGTGTCCCCTAGTGTCTCAGTATCCCAATGTCTCTGTGTCCCCCATTGTCGCCATGTCACTGTGTCTCCCATGATCCCCCAGCATCCCTATGTCTCCCAGGATCCCCCAATGTCCCCATGTCTCTGTGTGCCCCACTGTCCCAATTTCTCCCCTAGAGTCCCCATGTCTCCCCTAGTGTCTCAGTGTCCCCATGTGTCTGTGTCTCCCATAATGTCCCTATGTCTCTGTGTGCCCCACTGTCCCCATGTGTCTGTGTCTCCCTTTATGTGGGTGATTTTTGGATATGTTGTTCACCCAGATCGGGGCTATCAAGGGATGTGTTGTGGGAATATATTGTATTTTGGGGTACGTTTTGGGGTTTGTAAAAATGTCTGTTTTTTCTGCTTACAGTTAATTGAGTTAGTCCATTGTCTTTGTTAATTATATCACAGGCAGAGGGGAAGGTTTGTGTACATTATCTTGGAACATCTAACTGTACAATACTGTTCTGATTGGCTTTGTGACTTTGTGTCCTGTGCTCCACAAGGCCCACCTGGGTGCTAACCTTGTGGGGAAAACTGTATAAAAGACAATAAACCCTCAGATCTGCCGAGTACCTGTTTTACCATCAACATAGAGCCTCGTCTCATGTGTGGGGGAAAAGGCTGCATCTACAGTGGAGATTGCTATACGCTGTATACTCCCCTGGCTATAATCACTAAGCTCTTTTAAGAGCTTGTTCATGCTTCACTCTCTGAAGGGAGGTTCACCCACTGGAGCCTGGAGCCTTGTCGTAGGTCCAGGGTGGGTAGGAGACGGCGAGCCCCCAACCAAGCTGTGGCAGTTTGTGGGGTTTGCGGTGCTTATGGTGTCTGGTGCAGTGCTTGGTAAGCACTAGGAGCATCGATTGACGGATGGTCTGTCACACCTAGGTCAGCCAGGCTGCCTATCAGGTGGTCAACTACGCTCTTTCAAAACTTGCTGAAAAAATTATTATATTAAAAAATATTGTTGAGGTGACAATTGTCCTTTAATGTTGTGGCTGATAAGTGTTTAGTGTTTATACAAGGTATGGGTCGTGAACCACCTTCTTGTTTGTTTGCTTTTTCAAAAATGAATGTATCTCAAAATTGTTAGTTTCGTTTTTTTTAATTCTCATTTCTTCCATCCAGTGAGCCAGCGCACGTCAGAAACACAGCGCATAGACCAAAAAGTATGGGTATGCCATTATTGAGAGCACAAACCCATAATCTTCAGATGAGAGGCAGAGAATTCCCAGCTATGCAACAAATTCATTATCTTACTTAGAGGATTAATAGATAAACAGCCCTAGGTAGGAGACAATGACTGATTATACAGCAAAGGGTTGGAAAAAATATTTATATCAACTGCCAGCTTCAGTCTGGGTTCAAAAGTGCAGAGGGAAAAAAGATTATAGGATTTAAAGTACATTCCGGTTCTGCAATAAATATCTTACAAATATTTATGTCATTATTACTACATTTCCTTCTCTAGCTTGGATGTCTGACATTTTACAGAACACTCTGCCAGCATTAGAATGTCACATCTTACAGTGTCACATAATTTATAGACTGTGACTTCCGGTGTTCAAAGGGTGATTTATACGGGTTTACACTGGGATCATCTGCATATAGCATAGGAAAATATACTTTCATCAATCTGTTAAACCCCATAAGGATGGAGGCATTTGTACAAGTTCTGATCAAAAGAAAACATAAACATAACTTGGAATTTGCACTATATGTCTGTTCAACCATAATTCACCTCTTTTATATTACGTGCATCCACACTTATTATATATCATTTTATTCAGGACAAATAGGACTTTCATTGTACATTTAAAAAACTTGTGTGATGAATTAAGACATTTTGTTATTCTCTTAGTTCTGCATGGAAATTTATATGTGAATGTCATAATACCGTTAGCTATTACTACAATAAAAGACACATTTGTGTTCAGTGATGTTGTACAAGTACAATGATGCCACCCATGTACAGGTTTCACAGTGTTTTATAGTTTATGGAGTACTTTGGTACTGTCCCTCCAATTTTCAGCAGTTTAACATAAAAAATATGGACCCCTGGCCTAGTGGTGTATTTGCCCAAGGCAAACTGGTCATTTGCCTTGGATGGCACCAACCAAGGGGCGGCAGAAAAATCTGCCCCAAATGCCCCCTGGTTAGTGCCGGGCATCCCCAGTGTTCTCCCAGTAATGGGGGGTCCTTATGGCCCTCCCCCCTGTCGTCCCCCCCCCCCCGGCGTGCTGCTGTGTTAGAATCATAGGAGGCGAGGGAGCAGAGCAGGGAGATCACAGCTCCCTCGCCGCCTCTGATTCTAACACAGCCACACACACAGCTCTCACAGCAGCCCCACTGGACCCCCAACAACGGGTAGGAAGGCTGGGTGAAAAAATTGTATAATAACAATACTAATAATTACTAATAATTAGTGAGTGTGTTTGTGTTATGTATTGGGGTGTTATACAGTCCACCTTCCAGTAGATGGCAGCATAGTAAAGTTATGCACTTGTTCTGTTGTGTTAGTCTCTCTTGTGTTATGTCATTATGTGTGTGTACTGAAGTAAAGTGAAGTTATATTTTACTACAATGTCAGAGAGCCATTTTGTGAATATACAACATGCTAAAACACTAAACTGCGCAAGAGGAAGCGCTCGCAAATGAGGCTGCATATATCCATTCAAAAGAGATACAATCCTCCTCCAGCAAAGAGAACTCACCTGAAATAAATCTAGTGAAGAAGACTGATGTTAAATCAAAAGACTTCACCACGCACTAATGTCACAGCGCCATTTAAAGGAACTTGTTATAATTGTGGTGGAAAACACAGGCGTAATACATGTCGTTTTCAAAATGCTGTTTGCCACACGTGTAAACGTACAGGTCACATACAGACAGTTTGCCAAAGACAAGCTAGTGGAATTCAAACCAAATATAAGAATGTGAATAAAATACAAACCACAGTGCACTCTTTTAATACTCCAGATACCGTTTCAGATAGTGAAATGATTGCAGGTGTTTACTCAAATGACTATGTGAATAAAGTGGAAAATTCGCCATCAGGACTGAAGATTTACACTGAAATTGTGCTGCAAGATGTTCCGTGCAAAATGGAAGTAGATTCTGTGAGCGCAAATTCTTTGATTTCAGAAGAGACATTTACATTGTTATGGCCTCATTCTCCTTCAATTGTACCTTGTGATATTCATCTGGTGGACTACAATAAACAGGCTGTGGATGTTAAAGGGGCTTGTTTTATACCAGTAAAATATGGTAAATTCAGAGGACACTTACGTTTAATAATTACTACGGGACAAAGAGCAAGTTTGCTAGGTAGAGAGTGGTTTGAACCCTTAGGAATTTCATTAACTGGAGTTAATAATGTATCCACAGATATTCTACAGAATGTGATTGATAAATTTAGTGCAGTTTTTGAAGAAGGTCTTGGCATGTTTAAAGGCCCTCCTGTTTCTTTTGTATTAGATTCAACAGTACCCCCAATTCGTATGAAGCCTCGCAAAATTGCATTAGCTCTCAGACCAAAAATAGATGCTGAGATTACACGTCTTGTGGAACAAGGTATACTTGAACCTGTAACACACCCAGGGGCGGACTGAGAACCCTCAGGGCCCCCGGGCAAAATAAATCAAGGGCCCCCTTACAGGCCCCACCCATACTCTGCAGCAAGCGCCACCCTTGTCCCGCCTCCATGCACCGCCTCCAGCCACACCCTACACAATCTTTAGACACAAGGAACAAAAGGGCAATAAGCCCTTCGAGGCCCCTGTAGAGACTACAATTGAGGGCTAATGGGCCATGGAGGGGGGTCTTTCTAGCGGAGGCTATCTCAGTGTCCTTTAGAGAGTGTGTTAGATAGAATCCCCTCCAAGCCCCATTAGAGACTACAATGGAGTCTAAAAGGCTTGGAAGGGGGTCTTTCTAACAGAGGCCATCTTAGCGTCCATTAGATATCCCCTGCAAGAAACAGTCGCCTCCAAGCCCCAGTAGAAACTACAATTGAGGGCTAATGGGCCATGGAGGGGATTTCTAGCAGAGGCTAGAGTCTAATGGGGCCTGGAGGGTGGTCTCTCCAACACTCTGGTTCCTATTCACAATATAGCAACACAACATAGCTCGCTGATACCTAAGCCAAGTTGGCTCCACTTACCTTAATTACTGTTGCTGGCTGGCAGTCTGTGGGCTTGCTGGCTGCGGCTGGCAGGCTGTGGGCTTGCTGGCTACTGCCGGCAGGCTGTGGGCTTGCTGACTGCGGCTGGCAGGCTGTGGGCTTGCTGACTGCGGCTGGCAGGCTGTGGCTTGCTGGCTGTGCCTGTGGCTTGCTGTAGCCTGTGGCTTGCTGTAGGCCTGTGGGCTGGCTACTGGCCTGTGGGCTGGCTAACTGGCTGGCTACTGGCCAGCCTGTGGGCTGGCTAACTGGCTGGCTACTGGCCAGCCTGTGGGTTGGCTGGCTGGCTACTGGGGCACTTGTAGATTATTTAAAGAAATAATCCATGCACAATAACCACTACTGCTCCAGAGTAAGTAGTCAAACCGTTTAAGAACAGTTTGACAACTTACCTGGGGTCTGCTGGGATATGAGGCTGTAGTAGGGAATAGGGGCAGTGGTGCAATGTGTGTGAAAGGTTCAGTGTGTGTGTGGGGGTGTAGTGTGTGAATGTGTAGGGTGTGTGGGCAGTGTATGTGTGTGGCAATGTTAGTATGGGGGCTGTGTATGGGGGTCTGTGTGTATATGGGTGGGCAGTGTATGTGTGTGTGTGAGGCAATGTGTGTAAATGTGTATGGTGTGTATGGGGGCAGTGTGTGAATGTGTATGGTGTGTGTGTGTGTGGGGGCAGTGTGTTTATGGGGCTAGAGTTCACTCTCACCACTGCGACCACCAGGAATCCATGGGGGTTACGGTGTTGAGAGTGAACTCTAGCCCGTAGCTCCAGGGCTAGAGTTGACTCTCGCAAGAGCAGTAACGTTGCCATGGTAACCGCGGCAACGCTCTGTGCTAGCGCAAGAAGGACCCAGAGGAGCTGCAGGGTGAGCTCCCAGGTCCTCTCTTCCTCCCCTGCCCGCACGGTGCCTGCGGACAGGGGAGGGGGGGCATTCTTCCCTCTCTTTCTCCCCCCTCCCCATCTCTCTATTCCCCCTCTTTCTCCCGTGTCTCATTCTTCCCTCTCTGTCTCCCCATCTCTCTATTCCCCGTGTCTCATTCTTCCCTCTCTGTCTCTTTCTCCCCCTCCCCATCTCTCTATTCCCCCTCTTTCTCCCTGTGTCTCATTCTTCCCTCTCTGTCTCCCCCCTCCCCATCTCTCTATTCCCCCTGTGTCTCATTCTTCCCTCTCTTTCTCCCCCCTCCCCATCTCTCTATTCCCCCTCTTTCTCCCCGTGTCTCATTCTTCCCTCTCTGTCTCTGTCTCCCCTTGTGTCTCATTCTTCCCTCTCTTTCTCCCCATCTCTTTATTGCCCCCCCTTTCTCCCCCCTCCCCATCTCTCCCCTCTCTTTCTTCCCCCTCCCCATCTCTCCCCTCTCTCTCCCCCCTCCCCATCTCTC